CCATAGTATTTAACTGAGGTGTACCTAACGTGGGCTATTTTAAAGAGGTGGGACTCCACACACCAAAAACTCCCCAGCCAGCATGGCTGGCTGGGGAATTCTGGGAGTTGAAGTCCACACGTCTTAAAATGGCCCAGGTTGAGAAACACTGATTGATCCATTGTCCCCGATTCAGCCCACCTTTTCTTTTTCAAAAGGGAAGGCATCAGATCCAAGGAATAGGAATTTTCCACCAAGATCTTTGCTCTGGGCATTGCATGATCCAGGAGGGATTTTTTCAATTGAAAACAAACCAACTAGAATCTGACATCTAGCCTCGTAACTCTTCCTTCTTGCAAACTGGCCTAGAATGAGCGGCCCTGCCCCCATCCTGGCTGCCATTTTGCAAGTGGGCAGATCTCCCTGGCAGCCATTTTGTATAGGCGCTCACGACCTGCCCTCATAATTCCAGATGTGGCTGGGGGACCCACAGGTTGCCTATAGAAAAGTTCTCCGACTTTGAAGTCACCCATCTTGGCAGTGCAGAGACTGTTAAAATGACCTGTTTTTTTCCTTACATTTGCAACCACGCGTGATCAATATATTATCAGTTACATATGCATTATCAGTTAACATATACAGATTTATTGAACCCCTTTTGAGGAGCAGGGGAGATGTAAAACCTGCCATCCTGTGACTAGGGAAAGGGTTAGACTTTCCTAACATTTGAAAATGCATTTCCATTGCTCATTTTGGATTAAAAAAGAAAGACCCAAAAGGATCGAGTTATTTTCCCCCTCCTTTGCAAGCAAAAGATTTGGCTGCCACGTTTTTTGATTCTTTTTTTTTAAGTTTGAAACACTACCTTGGCAGAATAAATCAGCCATTACATTTAATTGTTTCTTGGCCCCAAATTGCCAATTAGCTTTTGAAATTATACCAATAAAAAGGAAAGAAGACTGGGGAGGAAGAAAAAGCTAATGCTCCAGAGATATTATTTCCACGGGGATGTTTAAGAAGAGACCCCCAAATAATTATAACTATTATTTCTAGAGCATGAGATTTTTAAATAATGTAAGAAAAGTACTAAGTAGAAATATTTGCCAGGGACGTTGGAGAAATGAGCGGAAATGCTGTTTGCTAGAATGCCAGGCTAGGAGACATTATTTAAGGCTGGGCACCTGGGATGGTGGCGGGGCGGTGGCGGG